TTCCGCGTTTTAACGGAAGATTCGTTCCCATTTTCCTTTGTTGTACGTGTTCATATGGGGCTTGGTCTTCTGCATAGAGAGAGAGAGAGAGAGAGAGAGAGAGAGAGAGAGAGAGAGAGAGAGAGAGAGAGAGAGAGAGAGAGAGAGAGAGAGAGAGAGAGAGAGATTAATGAGGTGCTAATACACCTAACCGTATTTTGGCAAAGGGTCAATTTTCAGCCTACTGATACGGTCGCCAGATCGTTGTCTTTACCCTCGTTCGGGTGAGGCTCAGCGAGATACCGCGCCCTTTCCCGCTGATTACTATTCGCACAGGCTACAATATCCCCTCCACAGTCTTCTCCGGCTCGAGGAGTTCGTTCTCAGACTTTGAACGGGCTCGACACAGTGGCGGTGCACATGGCTTCGTTATGGTGGAAGACTCATCGGGGTTCTGCCTGTTTCAGAGAAACAGTGTCAGGCCAGCCACGAGGTTCGAAGACCCACCGACTCGCCCGTCGGCTGTCGAGTTTGCCATAGGTTCGATTAAGTTGGGGGACGGAGGGGGGTCGTGAGTGAAGGGACACTACGGAGGGGGGGGGTGAGCTGTTCTGAGCAAACGAGCTCACTAGCGGTAGCTAGTTAGCTGAGCAGGAGTACGAGATTGTTGTAGTTTAAGCGGGCAGCCCAGTACGCTGTCACAGGGGCTGGTCTCAGGGCGACGACCGATCCTGGGTGTATGCTACTGTTGTTGCTGAGGTGACTCGGGGGCTTACTTGGTGGTAGTTGAGTAAACACACTTTGTGCGATGGTTGAGGGATAAAAGTTGTGGATGCCATCCCTGCACAAGGGACTGTGGGCACCGTTTGTTGTATTAACGAGCGGCGAGGCGCACTGCATGTTTTTACTGCGGGTGATGGGCGCCTATTGCACAGCGTGGGGATTTTTGTTATGAGCGAAGTCCTCTGCTGAGGCTGTTGCCCCTGGTTGGTAGTCCGTATAAAGGCGCGAGCATGTGTTGTTTGGACGTGGATTCTTTGAGCGGGGCGGTTGTAAGGGAATCACCACTGCGATCCGGGAGATCACTGGGAGGATTGTGTTCGGTCCTTTGACTTTAGATCTGACGGAGCCGCTACCTTGGCCGCCATTGCGGAGCCCTCAAGCGAGTGAAGGTAACGAGGCCCTCTCATGCGAGTCTGAGCGCACCTTTTCTGGATCTGAGAGTCTCATAACCATCTTCATCTATCCTTCTTCCTCTAAGTCTACTCTATTGGTTCTGAGAGGAAGGCGGCAGGCGGGATTGCAACCCGTAGGTCCGCATCAAGACTATGTCGGAAGTCCACCCATCGATTGCGGGAGCTCTGCCGGAACCTAGGCGAGGTTCTGGAGGCAGGGAACCTTCAGGTAAATCATCTTCATCCGTACAACCTACTACTACCCATGTTTGCCTATCTCCCTGCAATATGATTGTTGTATGCATGCGTTTGTCCCTATGGTTTTTGCTTTCTCTTCAGGACCTAATCAGACTAACTGGAAAGAATGTGTGAGAGTGAAGCCTAAGTTTCTA